TTTTCTATATATATGTTGTTAGTTTTTTTGACGAAGGGGCTTGAAAATAGTTTACTGAAGGAACTAAAGAAACAAGAGCCGCAGAGCGACTGGGCTCATCTGAGGTCTGTTGCTATGGTTATAAACGTAACATTTCAGTCGTGTGTAGTGACACCTTTGTTAGGCACAGATATGCAGATACGCAGTTGTGTACACATCATTTCAGCAAACATTTTTTTTATTGCAGAGAGAGAGCGAGAGAGAGGAAGAGAGAGAGGGGGGCGAGAGAGAGAAAGAGAGAGAAAGAGAGAGAGCGGGCGAGAGGAGAGAGAGGGAGAGATTCAGTCAGACTAAATTGTTTATAAACAAATAACACCCACGCGGCGCGCTACTGTATCAGTTACGTCATCGATTGAAATGTATTCCGATTTTGCCGCGCGGCGTCCAAACTTTCGACGAAGATGGCGGGCAGAGGTAAGGCAGACGTACGGCAGACGTACGTATAACGTACAGATTTCTTCAATGTCGGGGTGGATCAACACATTTCGACTGACAGTCAACCATCGGGCTCTGCAGCGTCCACAAGCCAGTATGCTCCACCATATCCTGACATGGCACACTAGTGTAACGTCGACGGAGAGAGACATGCCAAGGACAGTACAAAACTGGCAAATTTTCATTGATAGGTTTGACGATTCATTTCTCCAATTACTTATCTCAAGATTGGTTAAACTGAAGTTAAGAAAGTAATTCTTTCTGCACTTTTGAGCGCAATATACATTTGACCTATCCTGCAGAGTTCTTCTCACTCTGTTCCGATAGATGGCGTGCATACTGACTAGGTGCAGGGAATAGATAATCCGAACTAGTCGCTACCTTCTATTTAGCCCATGCTATGATATTATCAGCCACCCACCTGCGAGGTAGGACTATTTATAGTTGGCCTTAATCAAAAATAGATGTTTGCGTAAGTGCTGTTGACATTGTATTCCCAACGTATAGAATCTCATATCGAGAGATTTTCGTGCAGAATTTCACTGTGGAATTTAAGTCTTCCACGATCACACAAGTACCATCAAACACAGTTCAGTCCTTTTAAACAGTCAACAAATCCATGTTTAACCCTCCTCTTGAGGGTCAAAAGGTTATCAGACACTTACTCTTCGCACGTCAGTGGAAAGCACATTTCATGGTCCTGTCAATAATGTGATAAAAATGGTAGGTCAGCGCTGAAACAAAAAAGTTTTTCACTCTGTCCATTAGGCCATGTCCTCAGAAAATGTCTGATATCTGACCTTTTCCCCACTGCCCTTTGACCTATGACCTCCAATTTCGCACTGGTGATGGGTTTCCTGCCCATCACACTATACACCGAATATTAAGAGCATAGGTCGAGCCGTTCAGATTTGTGCCGCAATTCCGTATTTCCTCCTATACCTTAGGTTAAGGGGGAAATATTCCCCCGCCGTTGACACATCTTGACCTTTGACCCTTGACCACCAAATTGGTCATCCTGAGTCCTTTTCACGATCCCCCCCCCTCCCCGACGTCCCGAATATCGTGACCGTACGTCGAGCGGTTAAGATTTGTGCTCAACTGTTGATGGACACACGGACACACGGATCACGGACGGACGCTCATGTGATTCTACAAGCTGCATCTGACTTCGTCAGATGAGCTAAAAAATGATGATGATGATGATGATGATGATGAAGATATAGAAGAAAAATAGGAAAAGAATATTTAAGACAAAAAAGGAGGATGACTAGGAGGAAGAGGAGGAGAAGGACGAGGAGGAGGGGAAGAAGGAGGATGAGACGAAGGAGGAGGTGGAGAGAAACAGCATATATGACCCCAGCCTCTCCATTTCAAATCATCATGCCACAGAGTATAAAGAGCATTTCTGATGTAATACAAAGGTCACAGGACTAACCAAGCCACAAAGTTACCAAGATTTTCCACATTATCAATCACATAGTAGAAAATGTACAGGTAAACCTATACTCAGAGGCAGTGGAACATCGTTTAAATATCAGTGGGGTTATGCACCCATTCTTCATGATTTTACAATTCACACCTGTATACATATACGTCAGTCACACACAGACATGCATAATATGCATCTTACTAATGTTCGCATAAGGCTACAAGCAAATTGAGCACAATTTCTTAATCCCAATTAGACGCAGACTACAGGCGCATACTTACGCCGGGAGAAGCCGCGACTCTTTTCGAAAACATTTACAAATTTAATCAGAGTAAAAGGTTCATAATGGTTTTACTGCCGCTGTAGAACGGGGAAGAAAACGTGGTGGAACCGAGGTGCAGATTATCAAAGATTCATGCTTGGTTCGCCTGCGTGCATGCTCTGGTATGTTAAGGAACAGCCAGTTCCCAATAAAGATCACAGATTGCATAATCAATCAATGCATGTGCCCGCTTAGAAACCGTTACGAGATTCCATTTTTGATTGCAGATTCGAGGAGTGACCTGACATCCGGTTGCATCCTATATATGTAGTTACTTTCATACTGATATCTGAAGTGGATTACACAATGTTGTATTGCAATGTCTTATTATCCCATTCTTGCGTACACAAAACGTTATATAACTGGTATCAGAGGAATTTTAAGACACAGAAGAATTTGCACCTATATTAATATTTTACTAGCATGCTGGTGTAGGTGCAAAAACAGAAAAATTGAGTTAATATGTGAAGAACATGCCTAACACATTTACTTGTCCAAGGTAGTAGCAATTATTGAAGTAAAAAAGCTAGTGGAGTCAATTTACAATGCTAAGACCAGAAACTTGTTATTAATAGCACGTCGGCCAGTTTAAATTAAAGCACTCACCTGCAAGACATTTCATCACACATTAGATTAGATTTTTTTTTAACCTCAAAAAGATGGAGTCTGCAGCATAACATACATTGATGTAACAACCAGAACGGCATAAATAAAATTTGTGTGCTACCTGCGATACATTACTACAGAATATCTGGAAGCAGTATTGTATAAATCATTGATTTGAATTTTTTGTAGTGTACAGCGGAACTTACAGGGAGTGAGCTGAGTTCCAGCTTATGGCCACCCAAGGTGTGTGTGTGTGGGGGGGGGGATTCAGCTCCATCCGAATTCTTACCAATGTTCAATTAAGTGGATAGCTTTAGTATGCCTCATGTAAAACCCAGCCTGATTCAAATGAATTCATACTGTGCACAAGAGATTTTCATGCAGGGTATGAATGCCATTCAACGATCTTTGAGGAAGCAATGACGGGCAGACGCAGATGGATAGTAGGTAGTTATGTGGACAAGTAACACCCCTATCAAAAATATTAAAGTACAGGGCCATAATCGCTACACATAGAGCAATATATACAGTTCCGATTGGCCACAATTGACCCCTGATACAACGATATCAGAGTAAAGAGTCATAATGGGCACACATTACATACCTATGTCGGCCACAAGTGAGCCGGGTTCCAGCTCCTGCAGAAACTGGCAGACCTTTGGCCAGGGCTTGTGCCGCCGGCTGCTGACACAGGGAGCGATGCGATCATACACGTTGTGGACGTGTACCTTCTCCAGCAGTCGCATTCGCTCATTTCTGCTGCTAGCCATCGACGGTTGCTGGCCACCACCGTACGGCTCTCACTACCGCTGTTGGGCTCACTGGCTCGCAGTTGCCCGCATCGCACGCATCTGCATCATCGTGTTTATACACCCATGACTTCGCTTATTGCTTCATTGGTTATTGCTGAAAGATGGAGAATGATGAATAAAATAATTGTTTACTGCAGGATATTTTTTATATATTATGATACAAGCAATGGCAGTAAAACATGTTACTAGTAATGCCCTTCCTCTATTGTTTTGTGTTGTGAAGACAGAAATGCTTAAAATTCAAGCTGGTTGCAATCAGGAAGGAAAGAACTGAATGCAACACTATGTATTTTAGATAGTTTAAGCAACTGTGCCTTCATCAAAATATAGCATTCAAACCAAGAAAAGTCATACATGGAACTAAGGTAATAGTTACAGCTTTTTAGCTACCATTATATAACATTGTAATTTGTACTGGTCTATTTGGCATGCACGGTTTTACGAATTAGTTAGTTGTATTGGCTCAATCAATGGCTGCTACCACTACAGTTAATTCATCAAATAAAACTTAACGTAGTATTTTCATGGTAATAGTATAATTGTTTAACCCCGTGTACGTTACAATTAACGTGATGGTGAAAATGTCTAGACAGGTCAATACCTTTAGTCTTTAGACTAACCTAAAAGTGTAGTCAATTAGCAAGTGTAAACAACAATAAGTTAATAACGGATATCAACAGAGTTTTGTTCGTAACCTTGACTTCTCATTTGACGCGACATTTTCATATTGGATTATCACTGGACTGCCTGAATCGTTATACCAAACAATTAAATATAGCTATATTAAAGTTGCATAACTAAGAGTAAAGGACTAAGTCTAAGTGCGATCAGAGCGCTGTCAAGTTGTAAAGTACGACTACGACTACGAGTACTCGAGCCTAGTAGACATCACGTTGCCATTTTAAACACGGTATAAAACGAAGACGAAAGTCACTATCCGATAATTATAGACACCTGTTCAACACAATGCCAGCGAGGCGTATTTAATATCATTAATAAACAATACAAACACTTTAAACGTGATCTGATGTCTCCATGAAAATTATTTTTACCTTCTTATTTGGGAAAAGTGATAGCCTAACAGCACCCCTAAAAGTTACTGTAACAATGAGCAACGGAAAAAAGTAAATCGGAGAAAATGTCTGCGATTTACATGATTGACTCATAAATTTTATAACTTTTAATGTAAAGCTAATTAAAATATGTTTTTTCGCTGTAACTGCGTAAAAATATATGCCTTTTAACTTAGGTTATTCGAAAAATTCACTTGTAGCTTTCCACGTGCGGATTAATTTTTAGATATCATGAACTGGTGAACCGGTTCACTAAAGCATCACGGGAAGATTCCATTGACGTCAGAGAACAAACATGGCACCCCCCATGGGAAACCTTTCTGTTCACGTCGCCTACCAATACACGAATTATGGGAAATGGTCTGCAATTAGATTACTTGTAGGTGTATTGTATAGAACGTATAACGTAAATAGTACGACAATTGCTATTTACACCCCGTACTTGAATCTTACTTAGTTCCTTCACCGTGCCCGTGACGTGTTTGTTGACACTATTTTGAGTATTTCTGAACTGTCTCAGTGTCTGACAGTGACAGTCTGTGAACACAACTCACAAGCCCAGCGAGAAAGTAAAAGTTACAACTTACGGCCCAAGGATATAAGAGCTGTCCACATGTCATTTGCACATTTGCGTGTCGCACATTGCGAAAAGGCTTAATATATCCATGAACCAAAGTGACACCCTGAACATGACCTCTGTCGTTTTTAAAGGGCCTGCCACCACATTTATGATTTAGTATGATTTACGAAAATTAATCGTGGATCAACAAAATCTACATGGACCACTAATGTTTTTAACATTTTCAGAACGCCATACAATAACGTTATGTTATGGTCATATAAAAACGAATTTTACAAACGTTTTCAAAACGTCGACAGTCGTCGTTATAAAAAGTTAAAAACCTGACAAATTTACGTTGAATACCGGTAAATGTTATTAAAATTTAAATCACATTATCTAAACCATACAATAATGTTAGAATAGAATTTTAGTATTAACTGGGATGTCACATCAGAGATTATGATACTATCATTGATAGTTCAACTGTTATGATCCAGTTTTAAAAGGTGGGCTTAGTGTTAGGTTAGGCCTTATAGGGTTAGGGATATCATGTTGACTGATCAATGATCGGGATATCATGGTCACGGTTTCACGTCACAGGACGCCTGACAGGATGACACCCTTCCACACGAAAAAACCACAACTTGAAAATAAATACAGAATTTTGTAATTAAAACAACCATATTACCACACTTTACCAAACTTGTACACCTTGCAAGTGTATTCGTACATGTGGCATGCTTCTTGACTGGTAATTGGTTCAGTATTTATGTAATATTCAGACAATTTGGAAAGGTGTTGCGTTTTTGAAAGCTGGCAAACTCCAAATAAGTTATCCTGCATAATTGTATGGTAAAACTATATATGTATCATTTTGCAAAACATGTAGATGTGTGCATTATTTTGATTCGTAAGGTACATAAAGCATATCTTACACCTGCTTGCTGATAGAATTATGACCTGATTTGCAATTGATGATTTAAAAAAACATGCCATATTTCATATGATTTGACATGCTATCTAGACTTCAACAGACTTGCAAGGCTTGTTTGCGGCTTATACCTGGAGAACTTTGAAACTCACTAGTTTTCAGTTTTTAGCTCATCTGACGTAGTCAGATGCAGCTTGTAGAATCGCATGATCGTCCGTCCGTCCGTGCGTCAACAGTTGGGCACAAATCTTAACCGCTCGACGTACGGTCACGATATTCGGCACATCGGGGGGGATCGCCAAAACGAGTTGGGATGTCGAAGCTGGGGGTCAAAGGTCAAAGTTCAAGAGGTGTAAAAGAAGGGGGAACATTCACTCCTTAACTTAAGGTATAGGGAGGAAATGCAGAATTGCGGCACAAATCTAAACGGCTCGACCTAGGCTCGTGATAGTCGGTGTATAGCATCATGGTAGGAAAAGCCATCACTGTGCCGAAATTGGAGGTCACAGGTCAAAGGTCAATGGGGCAAAGGGCAGATTTTAGACATTTTCTGAGGACATGGTCTGACGGAGCGATTGAAAAACGTTTTTGTTTCAGCGGTGACCTAGCATTTTTATGGCTTTATTGAAAGGACCATAAAATGTACTTTCCGCTGACATGCGAAGAGTAAGTGTCGGATAACCTTTTGACCCTCAAGAGGAGGGTTAAACATGGATTTGTTTCTCTCAACTGCGGACTTATTTTTCATCAATTTCATCGATTTTCTCATAAAATTTTGGCACCAATATAGACGCACGTGTGTACGTTCTTGAGCTTATTCGGTCCACTAATCACTGGCCTACCTTGTACTGAAATTAGTTTAGAGATATTTGCTATCGTATTGCTGTAAATTGTAATCTTGCACGAGCTGCTCTCTGCCTCTGGTTGTATCAACCATTGAGCTATTTTTAACGAGCCAGATGTGCTTCGCAAGGGGTTTAATGTACCTTATTACCTGACACCATAGAACGCACGTTATGTATAGTAATAATATGGTAATTATTCGCTCCTGCTTTTTGCAATTCGTTGTCACACTGACAGCTGCCATTGCTGCAATGCTTTTGCTGACCGATGCAATGATGCCTTTGATAGCGGCCCGCCATCTATCGGAATTTTATTACACTAGTTTGAAGTGTTGTTTTTTTGGGTTAGAAATGAACGTATGTATAGGACGTCTTGCTATGCACAAATGAATTTATCAGCAGAACACTAGACTCCAGATGAGCCCTGTCGCTCTGCGGCACTTGTTGTGTTTGTGTCATGGTCACATTGTCCTCTACCTTTGTCGAACACTGAAGTACATATTTGTAAATCCCATTGAAATATCATTGGCTTTGATGCTTTATGTTTAATTCTGGATGTGTCACATGGAATCTGACTTGACCAGTTCATATGAGTGTGCATTTCTATAGGAATAGTCACCAAATGCACATCCTACTATGTCCAATTTATTTCCTGCAGTCTAGTGACGAAGCTTCATAGTAAAGTTGCAGAGCAAAAACTAACAGGAACTCTTGCTGTTGTCAGAATCATTTAATATTAGGTAGAGCAATACCGTTTCAAAATATATCTATAGAGAATATATATGGAATAGCCAAGGCACAAACTGGTTAAAACATAGACCTAGATGTTGATTTGTTTTTGTTTAAGAATACTACAAAGTCAGTTGTTCAGCGTGCATCAACTGGGCTATCGAAAGAACAGAAGGAGAAGCTTGCAGATGGACCGGAGCTAACAGAATTCATTTCCGGATCCCCAAAAGTGTTGGACGATTATAGCGACTATTCAGGAAAACTTAAAAAGGATGGAAAAGAAAGGTACAATGTTAGTTTAGTGCAGAAATTGTATGTAGGTTTAGTTGTTATGGTTAGATTAGTCTTGAAAGAGAATATTGTTTAGTTATCTATCATGATTATTTTTAGTTTCAATCAGATTATTATTATTATAATTATTCTACTTAATATCAGTTTCTGTGAGTCAATAATAAGAATAATAGACTAATGAGAAATGTATTGGAAAATTGAATGGAATTAGTTTATTCATGTTAATGCCTAGTGCCACTTTTCATTGGGTTGAATTCAAAGCTGGGTTGAAGTTAAAATGTCCATTCAGCATATTGTTTGAAATAATAACTAAAATTAATAGTGGAATCCAAAATATATCAATGTCTCCCATTGTTGCATGTTCTATTGGTTGTAAATAACGTTTTGCAGGTTGCGACTTCCTCCTTGGTTGAAGAGAGAGATACCTGTTGGAAAAAATTACAATAGGCTAAAGAGCTCTTTGCGCCGGCTGAGTCTAAACACAGTAAAATCAATAACTTCTTTATGCTTGGGTCACTTGAGCTTGGTATTTTATTGTCTGTGCATGTGCTTAGCAGCAGCTATGTGCGCACATATCTGGATATAGATTATTGGACTTTTACATCTGATCAAATTGAATCATGTATTTGATTATTCTTATGTTATTAGAGTCTGTTGAAGGTTTTTAGTTATTAGAAGTGGTTATATAGTCTCTGTTGTACTTAAGGTTAATATAGATGGGCACGTAATAACGAAAAAGTTGTACTTTGTTGCCAAAAAAGTGACACTCGGTGGTTTGAAGCAGAAAATAATCCCATCAATAAATTTTTTACAAGGTATGTGAAGAGGCTAATTGTCCCAATGTTGGTGAATGCTGGGGAGGTAAAGAAGGAGGTGTTGCAACAGCTACTATAATGGTGAGTATAATTATTTCCCACAGTGAAACATGTTAGGTCACTGCTAAACAATTTTCCATGCAGATACGTATACAGTAATCCAAGCCAACATCTCTTGAGCCTATGTATCTAACGACGTCTATATAGGATCCCATTGTGTATATATGTTTTCTTTAAAGTAGTACTCCACAGTTTTTAGTATTTCAAGTGTATGCAGTGCTTCATACTTGAACAACTAACCAGACTATAATTTATATAAGGAAGCTATTACGGCTACTACTGCTAAAGTAAGGCATTTTGGTTGCCTTAGCTTCTTTTGGTTGCCTTAGCTTCTAGGTGACACGTGCACACGAGGCTGCCGTTTCTGCTCAGTAAAGACCGCCCGTGCGCCACCGCCACCCGACCCTGACGAACCACGCCACACGGGAGCGGCAGTGGCTGAGTGGGGACTTGACTACGTTGTCCTGACGTCAGTCGATCGTGATGGTACGAAACACGCTTACTTTGTTCGTAGAGAATTGCTGACTAATCGCATCTGGACACGGCTTCAGAAACATTGGTTAGCTAACTGTCCAAGCACTGATATTTAAAACCTAAGGTTTTTAGCTCATCTGACATAGTCAGATGCAGCTTGTAGAATCGCATGATCGTCCGTCCGTCCGTCC